TCAGGGCTCCCTGCTGGACAGAGCTGGGTCCTCCTGAGCAGGAGCTGGCTTCCTCTTGCCAGACTCCCACTTCCCACACCTCCTCCTCCCCCAGTGCTTCCAAGCCAGGATGCACCTGGAACCAGGCCACAGAGGCCCTGAGACAGCCCCAAGGGCCCCACTCGGAGAGGTCCTGCCCTCCCTGCCCCAGGCCGCTCTGGCTCCTCACTCAGGCACTTCCATTCTCTGTCCTCTCAAGATCTCGCTGGGCCTGAGGCCCACTAGCAAACACCTCTCCCAAAAGCCTGTGCTTGCTGCAGCCCTACCCCACGGGCCCTGTCTGGCCAACGTCTGATCACCATCACCTGGAGATCTGCCCTGTGCAGAACCAGTAATGCCCCGGGACCCTCGAGGGCCAGGCTCCCACTGCCCGGCTGACTTCATCTCAGCCCCGATCCACAAGAGGGGACCTGGGGCCCTGGAAGGATAGATTGTGGCTTCGCACCCACTTCCAGGCTCCTGTCCGGCCCACAGCCCTGCAAGAGGCAGCCCCAAGTGTCCCCTGACTCCACCTCCAGGCCACGCCATCTGATGGCACCAGAGTCTGACCCTGCCCAGCTAGGAGGCGGTTGTCAGGCAGGAGAGGCCAGGATTGAAAACCACAGTTGAATGGTTAGAAGCGCATTGTTTTCTTCACTACAACATCTTGAGCTTCCTGGCTGTCAGGGCAAAGGGCTAACACACTGGCTGCAGAATGTTCACTGTGTGAGAGAGACCAGAGCACTCTGGGAGCTGCTGGCAGGAAGACCTTCAGTGTGGCTCAAGATTCTGGATGAATCTAGGGTGACTGTTTCATATATGAAACTGATAACATCCCCGTGCTGATGGCAGCTGCTGACCCAAACCTCCCGGTCTCTGCTGACTCGTGCAGACACCTGCACGGCTCCCGCCTAGACACCGGAGTGGCTGCCCTGGGTGTGGGTAGGGCTGAGCTGCCTGCCCTTGAAAAGTGGGTGTTCCCACCTCTCAGGACTGTGGAAGTGTGAGGGGTGAGGGATCCTGGCATGTGCTGCCTGCCTCAGTCTGCAGCAACTGTCACCGCTGGATGTCACGGCGGTCCTCACAGGGAGGCAGCTACCCTGGCTGAGAGTGTGAACCAGATGCAGAGACCACGGGCAATCTCCACAAACGCTCTCTGTGGCCTGTGCGGCAGCCGGGATGCCATCTCCAGGCCAGCTAAGCCTGTACTTCCCGAGTTATCCAAGTCGGGCTGAAAGCTCTCCTCTGAGAAGGTTCCAGTGGAGAAAAGCGAACAGGCTGGTCCTCTTGGATTCTGGGTCCAGGGTTGGTCATCAGGGGGCAGCGTTGTGGGGTGGAGATTGCCGTGGCATTGGCCATGCCCCTGAGATGGAATTCCCAATGATGGGATCCTGCCAGGCCACGAGTTGATGCTTCAGAGCAATTAAGTGCAAGTTTGTGTCTGTGTGAACATGAACTTCAAAGGCCAGGATTGGGGACGATGAACAGGAGGGGAGGAGGCAGATGCCTTGTGGCGCCACCTACAGCTCGGCTGGGGACTTCCTGCACTTGTGGTGCATGAAATCAACCCCATGGAGGCATTTCTGCCTGAAGCTTGTCCACCCAGAACCCAAGCGAGTGGGAGGGGACAGCAGGTCCCGTCACACAGGCAACGTGACCTCACTGGGTCGACCTCTGTGGACACCCCAGGAAAGCCCCCACTTCTCACATTCTTCTGAGAAAATCTTTTTGTTTTAGTTCTACAGGCGTGTTCTCAGGTCAGGAAGAGTCTTGCAATTTAGACAGCGCTGGGTGGCTGAGGCGGACCTGCCCCAGTGCCATCTTCACACAAGAACACCTGCATCACCCACCTGGGCAGCTACAGCCCATGGGCCGGGTCCAGCCCCACCTGCTTTTGTTCCTAAAGTTTCTCTGAAGCGCAGCTGCGGTGGGCGGTTCTGCATCTGTGCCTGCCTTGGTCACTGGGGCAGAGTCAAGCAGTCGTCACAGTGACTGCATGGCCCAAAATATTAACCCCCAGCCTTGAACGGAAAGAGTTAGTCAGGGTGGGTGTGGCACCTCATGCCTGTAATGGCAGCACTGTGGGAGGCCAAGGCGGGCAGATCCCATGAGGTCAGGAGTTTGAGACCAGCCTGGGCAACATGGTAAAATCCCATCTCTACTAAAAATACAAAAATCAGCCAGGCGCGGTGGCACACGCCTGTAATCCCAGCCACTCAGAAGGCTGAGGTAGGAGAATCGCTTGAACCCAGGAGGCAGAGGTTGCAGTGAGCCGAGTTCTCGCCATTGCACTCCAGCCTGGGTGACAGAGCGAGACTCTGTCTCAAACAAAAACAAACAAACAACAAAAACAAAAAACAAACAAAAACCGAGAAAGAGTTAGTCAGTTCCTGCCCTGAACAGTGGGGAAAGCACTGCCACTCACTGCTTTATCTCCACTCAGCTACAGCCCCACTTCCCCGCTGGGGGTTTATGGCCTCCTGCTGGACCATGATCTAGAAAACAAACTCCCTTTTGTTTCTGGGCTCCCAGAGGCCCAGCATGGACCCTTATGCTGGCATCAGGACCATCAATGTGAGAGAAGCTGAGGGACCTGTGCCCTGAGGCCTCCCTTTGGAAATAGGGGCTCTCGTGGGACCGGAGCAGGATTGCGGGCAGGAGGAGAGGTTGTGGGGCCGAGGGAGTGTGGAGCCTGCACTGTAACTAGCTGTTCCCCGCAGAGCTTGCACAGAACATCGCCTGACTCTCACAGACCATGGGGTACCAGAAGACCCACAAAATCCCCAAAGTTTCTGCCCTCTAGCAAGTGCCTGCCCCCTCTTGCCCAACACCCCAAGGGGCAGTGGCTTCTGCAGGGAGGCCAGCTGGGACCCAAAGCTCTGTTCACAAGGGACCCACCTTGTCGTACAGGGACGGGCACCCAGGGTGACTCCAGGGCGTCTTGTGTTTGGCTGACTGATGCCCTCCTGGCCCCCAAATCCAGGCTCCTGGGTCCTGTGGATGTGAGGGGCCTTGGCACACGTGATTGTGTCTAGGATCCTGGGATGGGAAGGATATCCTAGACTCCAGGACGGGCCCTGAGTGTGACCTCAGTGTCCTGGTAAGAGGGAAGCCGGAGGAACCTGACTGCAGGAGAAGAGAGGCCTGGAGCACAGGGGACGGCCCTGTGGCTGGGGAGGCAGAGGCTGGGCCATGCGGCCACAGCTAAGGAACAGCCAGGGGACACCCGGAGCCCGGAAGCTGGAAGAGGCAGGACGGAGCCTCCCGAGAGCCTTTGGCGGGAGCACGGCCTGCAGACACCCAGGTGTGGGTCCTCCGTAATTGTGAGAGAACAAATTCCTGTTGTCTGAGCCCCCAGTTTGTGGTCATTTGTCACTGGAGCTCCTGGACAAGGACACAGGCTTCACCCCTGCCTCTGGCTCCCTCTTTTTCTGACATCCTGCGAAGGTCTCTCTCAACAGTGTCGGAAGAGTAACCCAGCCAGCTCTGCCTTTCTGATCAGGTGTGTCGGGCCCCTCCCAGCCCCATCACCCTGCACATGCGTGGCCTGGGGTTTGATGCAGCCTCAGGCGTGAGGCCCTGCAAGCAGCTCCTGGCAGCTGCCCAGCTGGGGAGCTCCCCAGGAGGGAGGAGTTGATCCCAGCCTCCTGCCCTAAGAGCTGTGAAAGCTATGAGGTCCTGCATGCCCCTCCTGGCCAAGCTCTCCGGGTCTCATGGTGGCTGTTCAGAGGCATTCCCCTGATGGCCAGGAGTCATGTGGGGACAACCACTGGGAAAGGGGATGTGCGGCAGGTCCAGCAGGTGGCTGGGGGCCCTAGTCAGTCCCTTCCTTGATACATGGGTGTGGCATGCGCCAGTCAGATTAGAGACGCAGAGCCGGAATTAAAACTGGAAAACACGGCAAACAGAACTTGATTGTTTCTAGTTTCAAGAAAGCAAACAAAATCTCCCTGGGGAAATGGCACAAACAGGAACCAGGAAGTGACCATGTGCCCAGCTTCACACCTCGCCCTGGGCAGGGATATAAATGGCCCAGGCTCAGGGGGCTCCACATCTGCACCTGCCTCTCACCTGCTCCTCTACCTCCCACTCCATTCTCAGCACACCAGAACCATGGGCTGCTGTGGCTGCTCCGGAGGCTGTGGCTCCGGCTGTGGGGGCTGTGG